CTCCTCTGCGCATCGGAAATGATAGGAACAAATGTAAGACATACATAGGAGTATAGGTGCAAGAAGAGAAATAAACTTTTCACCTACAGAGCCAATTACTGTGATCAAAAAAAAATTTTGTTTTTTATCAACATACTTATCCAAAAAATGCATGACCACGGCGCTTACAGTAAACTAATAACCACGTTACTCTGCCAGTAGGCGGCAAATGTAAATATATATAAATAATTAGAAGTAAAAAGAGATATAAGTATAAACAAATATATGTATATATTTTATTAATTTGTATTTATATATTTATATACTTACAGTTATTTTTATACTTATAACTGTTTACTGGTATTTACATATATATATTTATATGTACGTATATTTATACAATTGTCTTTCGCAATCTTTAAAAATTTTAGATTTCTTTTTCTTTGTAAGTCTGACCATTGTCCTTTCTTCTTTTTTCGCTATAAATTTGGAAAAAAATCTCTTAGAATTTTTTCACCATTATCTAGACCGTTTAAAAGCTTATGGTTGAAGCAGGCAGAAGAATAAACTGAACAAAAGTTTATCATGGAACGGAAAGTTGTACTTCAGTAATAGGAAGGATACTAGAAACTAGATGAGAAAAAAGTAATGGGAAAAAAGCATTATCTTGTTGCGAATTGAAAGTAGGCGTACACAAAATTCACTCAAGTGCATAGTACCGTGAATGAAAGATAAAGACAGTAAATTCACAAATATTCAGTCTTTTTTTTTTTCGCCAAATGAATTCGTCGGTACTAATAATCCGAAAAATCAAAGTGAAGACAAACCGTAGCCAAGAGTCGACCAAGAAGCTGCAGGTGATAGAGAGAGAAAATTTTTTTGAGCTTCTAAAAACTTTCTAAGTTTTATTATTTTTCTTTTATTAGACCAAAATGACGCGTTCCGCAAATACTGCTAAAAATCCAGGAAAAAAGTAAAAAAAACATGATTAACACAGACATTAAAAGAAGACTAAGTAGTAACAAAAAGGAACTTCTTACTCTTATTTCTTTTTCAGCTGCAGCCAAAAAAAGTGCATCGTCATACGTATGAAAACCATTCACATCACATTGAATGCATAGAAAATCGTATCGATATAGAAAAAATCCGGCAAAGCAAATGGAAAGGTCACCTACTCAAATAGAAAGTACCAAACAGTGAGGTCAGAAAAGGCGCCAATTTCGGCTGAGTGGCTTTACGATACGGCCCGAGAACTGCTGTCAACAGTATCGTTTTACAGCATTCTGTAATTCCATTCAATCACTGCTAAAGTGAGCAGAAAGATGGAGGTACGTCAGAACAGAACTCTGGGTTTTCTGGATCGCTGCCATCAGTGGTTGTTAGGTAACAGTTAACTTAGTACCGAGTAGTTTGGCTAGCAAAGGAACAGTCAGTGGAACTGTATTGTGCTTATTAATTGTCCAAATAAAAGAAGGTTTTGGGTGACGTCACTTAAGGTAATTTCGAAGTAACATAACGCATCAGTTGAAGAGACCTGTTTTGCTTTCGCTCCTTAACTGCGACGACGATAGCAACAACAACTATAACAATAGCAGAAATAATAAAAATAAAATAACGGCAAAAGTCGTAGTCACAGCAACTACATTTACTTCCCTACTATACAGAAAATAAACTTTATTTAACTAAAAAACAATTTACGAAAAACTCATATTTCGTTACAGCCCTCATACTCGTATGTAAACATAACGATGTCATAGATGCAGGTTAAATATAAATTATTTTGTTTTGCAGTTTGTGTGGTATGAAAAGTTGTCTCCAGTAAGCGTCTTATATCCCTATCAAATATTTTAGCCACTAAATTAAAACTGATTTGCTAAAAAATAAAGAATAAAAACGGTGATTCTAGTTGAGTAACTGAAAAATTTGATTCAATAAGTAATGCAGCCACTAATTCACAACAAATCCCAAGAACTGCTTTGGAAAAAAAAACTTATCTTCCTCGGTGAAAAGTTAAAAAAGGTTTTTGTACTTGTCAGGTAATCGACAATAGTAAACTTTTAAGCGTGAATTTAACTTCAAGTTGAATCGGAAAATCGAAGTACTTCTTTGAAAAATCTGCTGCTATACCACTAGCCATTCCGCTCCATTACTGGTGTGTAGCTGAAATTTAATAGTGGAAAAAAAATTCATATTTTCTGTCCGCAGTTTATCTTCGTTGTTACCGTTGCTATAACAGCGAAGATTCTGAAAAACAAGTGTTCCTTTCAATCAATCATTGATAGTGTCCTCCATAAATTGACAAACAAACTTCAGCAAAGCGGACTAGGCATAGAGAAACAGTGCTACCTTGAACAGCTAATCAGAGTACGACCGAGCGGAAAAGAATTTTGGTCGGTCTGTTACTGCAGATTTCGAAATCATTGTTCTGAAGCCTGTGGCAGCCATAGATCCACGTTATCCTAAAGCAACTGCAAACAGTTCTGTGTATAATTTTCTTGAATTTTTTTGAACTTTTGTTCAAAATAAAGTAACAAAAGGCAGATTTTCAAATAAAGGAACGATATTACAACGTTGGTAAATTATTGAAAAGCTAGGGTATCAGCAAACCACTGTAGTGGCTGTCGTAGCTATGATAAAACTGAGGGCGAAAACATGAAAAGAGAGCATCAGTTGAAAGAAAAAAGTAATCCACATTATGCAACTTAAAAAGACGACGCTAGCAAAACGATTCTGTTAGCAGAAAAGTTTTTTCCGCTCTCAACCACTGTATATAGTCCATCATTCACAACCAAAGAGTCTCGTAAACTGTGAGTGTACAGTTTACCAAGAACATAGTTGACTGGCAACGTTTTCTGACACTTACACCCGTATTTTCTAAAACTTCAGCTATTTAATACAGGCCGAAAAAAGAAACATCTGTTAACAGCAAAACTCATAAAATTAAAAGAATACCTTGGGCGGAAGGGTTGGAGAAAATGGTTGAATTATCTATTTTTAAAACTGACTATAAAAATTTAATTGCAAAAATTATGTTAAACGAATGGTATCAAAATAATAACAATCTTCTGTTGCTGCTCTTTGAACACAACAAAACACGTTAGTCTTGAAAGCCACAGTACTAAAACGAAGAGTACAGCACTGTTTTAAAATGATAAATCACGTTTTTGCCGCAACTTCTAGCGGTTAATGATCGTTAGCTAGATGACAAAGATCAGATGCAGAGAAGAATGGATATTGTTACAAAAATCAGTCTCAAGAAAGCAAAAAGAAGTATTCTGATGGGATTGACTGTAACACAAAGTTTTTCTCTTGTTTAGTTGTCATTCGAAAATAATTTCTTCATTCTTTTCTATTCAGAACACTGTCTTAAAAACTTGTTTGTCACATTTTAATGTCGCAACTGTTGCAGACTTGACGTATAAATTTCGACTAGTAGAAACATTCCTACAATGCCCAATGAAATAGTCTATGGTAAACTAAGAGGTTTTTACAACTGACAACTCTGAGACCAGACAACAAAATGAACAGGAAAAAACATTGAAATATTTTTCTCTTTGCATGACAGTTGAACAATTGTATACGACCAGTATGTTTATGAAAATTCATTGATTGACTGGGAACAAATCAGGTATCGGGTTTTGATTACCTTTAGTAACGTGGACAAAAAACTTTTTTAAAAAGATTAAATTCAGATGACTATAAATTACTGAGCTGTATTCTTTACAGGCTCAGAAAATCACTACAAAATTTTGTTGTCTCAAGTCCAATTGCAAACAGAATCCAGACAGCAGCTAAATCCGCTTCTCGTTACGTATCCGAAGCGCCTATTAAAATTACTGGCAATGATGATTTATCATAACTGCACAAACAACAGTTTAAGTTAGGCAAACTGACAAAGTTTTTAAAGAGAACAGCTAACTTCAAACCGTATTCGACATCGTCTCGCCATATTTTGAAAACAGTTACCCAACAAGACTAATTTAGTGCATGAGATAGCGCTTGGTTAGGATTGTACAATTTCAAGTACCTCTAACCACCCGTTAATACATATATTCTATTACTGAAACCAGGAAATGGCGAGGTTTACCAATCACCAACTCGTTGTTAAATTATTCAACTGGCTACATTAATAGCAAGGAAAAACTCAGAATTGAATAATATCTGCTGCTACAACTCGCAGACAGTTCTTCCTTCAATTATATATCCACTTTCTCTTTCGCTTGATGTTTCGAGAACCTTCTAAACTACCTTTAGTGAATTAAAAAAGTGCGTTGGGAACGAAGAGCACAAAATAGTGCTAAATAGGAGCGCAGGGAAAGTTGTGAAAAAGTTTTTAGTTCATTTTCAAGACGCGGCATAATTTCTCCTCGGTTCCAAACTGTTATCCTACTGATAGTCAAGCTTATTACTGTTGCCAGTAAACTTTGTTGAGGTGTCATCTGATTTCTATTTATCACTCTCTCATTACTTGGAGTTTTTTGGGTATTTCTTTGGTTTTTAAAAATATGCTACATTTAGTTGTGTTATAGAACAGGTTCTCCCGATGTGGACAGTAGAATTATCTCGTAATGGGTTCATATAGGAGAAGTTGAGCTGCTCTTTCAATGCACGGAGTTCGTCACAAGAAAATCAAATTTAGAAAGATCTGCCAAGAAGCATCTTCTCGTATATGAACTGTTGATTAGAAGACTAGCTTTATAAAAATCCCTTACCATTTATTATATATTTTTTTAGGAAAAGTACAAAAATTTATCTTCTCATTTCTTTTTCACAATTGTAGAGAAAAATGTTTTGCGTGATATCAAAAAAATGCTTCTAATGTTGGAAACCAATCCTATCATCTATCACCACCATCCTATAACGTCTCGAATCGAACTACAAATGGCAGTCACTTAGGTTGAACAAGTGGAGAGCTATCAGTGGGTAATCAACAAGGAGTGCTTAAAATAAAGGCCAGAGTAGTGGAAGAGCAGGTATCGCTGTATGAGGAATTAATTGTAGAACAATGAAAACTGAAGCGCATGGCAAATGAGGGAGGATGCTGTGACAGTGATAGGGAGCATGAAAGTATGAAAGAGGAACTGGCAAACTCGACAAAGTCTGAAAAACTGCGGGAAGTGGTTAAAAAATCAGCATTGAAGGTGCAAAACGTCGATGTGCAAAAAGAAGTGCACGTGAAGGTAAACCAAGGAGATACATTCATAATGTCGATCAAAGACTCACTGGTAGATACTATTAATACGATCAACAAAATTGCAAACTTCCTGAAACAGATGCCATCCCATTTGAACACTTGTTACAGGCTGAGGTCGACTTAAAAATTGATCTCCGGTCCAAAAATGAATGCTTTTCAAGAGGTTAATTGTGGAACTAGAAAAGTTAGTTCTGCTTTTTTTGAAAAATGCATCAAGCGGAAAGATGACATTGAGGGAAATTTGGGTTGCTTGAAAGCTGTTTTGTGTTGTGTTTTGACAAAAATCAAAGTTTATACAGTGTGTCGTGACTGCAGACAAAATTCTAAAATTTGAAGAGTC